TACACACATCATAGACGAATTTCACGCTGAATCTCAATGCAAGTACAATAACGTCTGTCGTGACGTAATTAGTCGTTTTGCCAGCATTATTTTACACATGGAACACTCGGGTAACATCGATATAACCTTGAAACACGATTTGGTTTATGATACCTCAACTTTAAATAAAATTATATATATATATATATATATATATATATATATATATATAGTTTGTTTAACGCCGCACTCACTATCAACTTTAGTTATTAAGCGTTGTAGTAATATCAGCTGTAACGTAATCAAATCTTGTTATCCGTTGTATGTATGACAAAAAGTTGTAGTCGCTACATAACTGCAACAATCTTGGACTAGACGTTAAACCCAATTTCACCTCACCCATATAAGTTGTAGCTCTGTATCAGCTGAATCTGTATCAAATATAGCTAAATCAGTTGCAGCTGTAGTGTAGCTTAATCAGCTGTGGTTATATCAGGTGTGAGGTGGTACGACCAACTATTTTCAATACCATTGGACAACAAAGGGAAGCGTACAACCTATTACCATCCTATGTTCCAACACAGAGGGAAAGAATGATAACCTTCTTGTATACAGTGTCTGAGCTGCCATATTGTATGAATATCTCGTTATGATGCGGGTCAGTCCAGCCAACCTGTGACCATACATCAGAATGTACCTTCGTAGTACAGCCACCCGATCTCAACAGACATATAGTTTCAAAACCAACGGTAAAACTAAAAACGTGATTCTCATTATTAATAGATCACATGGCAACTTTTTCGAAATATGTAAAAATCGGTGTTATATTATCCCGTGAAGCAGTTCTTTTGGAACACACGCAAACAAATTGTGTCAATAGGAGAGGGAAATGTGGTGCCTAAGTCGGTTAACGTCGCCATCAGCAGGGACTACAACCTTCACAACCAGTATTTACACTTTTATGGTCAAAACAGATGGGTATGGAATGACGGAACAATTCCATCCAGCTGAGAGCAATAGATAGTCCTGTTCTCCAGGACTGATGACCGTTCCAGCCAGGTCAACACACACTAACAGCTATCACAATGCTGTAAATCACTACAACCTCTTGAGGCTACCGACCACTAGTGCCGAGCATTGACCGTCAATTAGTCCAAACACAACAGTGTGCACAGCCTCAGTGGTGGTCACTTTGAAAGGAGGAGGCCATTGTTGTCTGTGTACATTCCCAACACCGCAGACGGATCGCCACACAATATCGATCTCGCGTCACTTCTTATGGAAATCTGCCACGCGAGATCTCGCGAGACTACATAACACGTGCAGTTGGCACTTAGATCTTTAGAAGAGATTTATACTCTTTTGCCCAATTCCTTTACGAAACATCTGATTGATTCGTGCGAGAATGGTATTCTGAACATGCCTTGTACTAATATTGACATAACAACCGCCATTTCTCCTTTGTTGACGTGGCAGTTATTTCATCAAACATGATAAATACTTCAGATTGTGTACACATAAAGGCAGCTTGCGTTGCTTCTATTACAGTTAAAGTCTAAAGCATATATGATGCCGTCTACTTCGGTGGGCCCTACCGTTCCTATCCCAAACAAGCATCCCCACCAGTCGTGCTCAGCAGGAAGAAAACTCATTGATGCCAAAAGGTCATTCTCCTGGGAGGCCTCGGCATGTTGTGTGTTGTCTTAATACAGGTAAAGTACTTATCTATTTGCAGGGGGGATAGCGCTTAATCTATCGGCTCAGTGTCTAACGTCAATGTCATCAGCTGAGTCTCGGTGGAATGGCTGTTGAGATGCATTGGCGTGTATATTGGAGAGAACATTGGATATACTTGTTCACGAAGCTTACTGTATAATTCAATTTCAAAATCCAGACTGTTTTGAGATGAAGGGAATAGCAAATGACGTAATCAAAGCAGCTTCTGTTTTCCAAGATACATGGAGAATAGATTTATGGGGAAGGTACGGATGGATAAATAAATACACGGATGAATGGATGTTGCATGCACGGATGAACGGATGCATGCATGAGTGTATGGGTGGATTGTAGCGGTTGGTAAAGATCTCTAGAGGGAATGAGAACTGCTCTACCTGGGAGTGAGTGAGTGTGGTTTTACGCCGCTTTTAGCCATATTCCATCAATATCACAGCGGGGGGCACCGGAAAATGGGCTTCACACATTGTACCCATGTGGGGAATAAAACCCGGGTCTTCGGCGTGACGAGCGAACGCTTTAACCAGAAGGCTACCTCACCACCCCTGTACCTTGAGGAAATATTTTCATATTCCAATCGTCACAGATACATCAGCAGATGGATATTCAGGGAGACAGATATTTGTGTTTATGGATACGGTATAAATACAATGATGGATAAATAACTAGATTGCGATATTGTGAGAAGATTTACATAGCTGCTGAATGTTGAAGACATAATCCAGCTAATAGCGTCAAGCTGTGACAGATTCACCTGCTCACCACACAGTCCACTGCCCACTGTTACACACATCACAGTCAGAAATAGAGAGTCAGTAGAGTCTGATACATAGTGAATCTCACCCGAGTGTCTATGGATATTAAATATATCAACACTCGTTGATATAATTGATATCAAAAGACAGGAGGGTGAGATTATATTTGTCATCCAACATCATTCTTCCACCTTTTTCAGTTTGTTGACAGTTATAACAGTGTCTTAAGTGTAAATGTACTGCTAACAGCTTCAGTAGTAGCGTCATTAGTGATGTCATTGGATTGTGACGTCATGTAACAAAGACGTCACAATGGTCTGCAAAGCATTGTGATTCAATTTCATTGCAGCGATATCTACAATGAAGATATCGCTTGATCTCACCCGAGCGATATCTCCTGTTGGAGACATTTTTGGATGATAAAAAGACATGTTCAGATACAGACAAAGAAGATATACATGTACATACCGGACAGATTGATAGCTCAGAGACAGGAAAAAGGCATATTAAAGGACAACTCAATTAGGTTGACAGACATATTCGTGGACAGGTAGACAGACACATTTTGGGAAGGTAGACAGACATATTCGGGAACAGGTAGATAAACATATTCGGGCAAAGGTAGATAGGCATATCGAGACAGGCATATCGAGACACGGGTAGACAAATATATTCGGGGACTTATTCAGAGATCTAGTCACACTGAGACAGCTGTCTCATAAGTCGTTAACAACACCAGAGAAACAGATGGTATGTACAGGTGTTGTCAGTTGAGCTGAATAACCTTTTGGGCGTTGAGTACAATACAGCATTACAGTTGTCACATATATTTATTTGTAAACCCTCTTACCAAGTCGAGTCAATACTGTGTCCAAGGTCATGACCGAACCCAAGGCATGTCGTATTAGTTTCAACGGTCTAATCCCGTCAACAAAACAACAAACACAAGCTTGTTGAAACTTGTGCTAAAACATATCACACTCCGGTTCAACACTATAGCTTTCATGAAAAATCAATCATTACTCGTGCAACAGAATACAAAAAGGAGAATTTCAATTCGCATCAGCGAGCATGGCGTCTATACTTTTGTTTTTCAAATGTTGAGCTATGTTTTGAAGCTTCATATATTGATCTGAATCCACGCCTAGTTAACATGCACGTATGTGACGTTTACAGGATTACACAATTTACATGTTTGTAATTATCTCTGGCCACGATCAAGAATATCCTATTCCAAAACTCTCTGCGCACCGTTTCACTACAACCGCTACTGAAATACGCATGCATGATTTTGTAACAGTTTTTTGGGGTTTTTTTCAATTTATATGTAAATATGTATACTTGATAAAGACAATCCTTTATTTTTTATTTTACGTACTGAGTATACAGGCGAATATTAAAACAGTAAACACTATACAGATCTATTTATAAATAAATTCAGAAACAACAATTGCCGGTAGATATGGTTGCAAGTTTATTACGGGTCGAGTTAACTATTGTATTACGGGCAGTTGGCGGTCATGAACTCGAGACCACCGTATCCCTAAGATAGACAATGGCGAGGCCAGGTTTACCTTTCAGAGCCCTGGTAGGCTGTGTTCGGTTTGAAAAGAGCTCAGAAAAAGCTTTCTTCTAGTGTGTAACCGCAGTTGTAGACGTGTTGTTTTATGTCGGTAACAACATAACGTTAAATGCCGTGCAGGGTATTGAGTGTGTTCAGCTTGAAACCTATATGATAATGAACAGTTGTATTTGAGTTCGGCAAAACATTACAAATTATTTGATCATTCTTATGGCCATATATCCTAACAGTCTGATTAAGTTATCACGGGGACTATTATAAAATGTCTTGGAAGGTAGGTTGATAAAGTTTTGCTGGTGTTGAAGACATCCCTGAATAACATAAGCATGTGTTTATGAATCACTATCACAAAGTGATGATACCAGGTGTTTGCAAAAGGTGAGCGTATACTGCTCCACCGGTCGCACCCGTCACAAACACATGCAAAGGCAAGTCATAAACTGACTGATGAAACTGTTCGTGGAATCATCGACACAATTCTTCGAATTCCTCAATCGTTGCTCCACCAGTGGCTGTTTCAGCAGGCGATCTTACAGTTTCAGAACAATATCTTACTTACGTACAGTGACTTACGATGATGGATGTTACGTTAATACCGTGTGGTTAAGTCACCATCTTCTTCCCATCACAACCCCATCCTTTTGAGCATCCCGGTTCCGAATACAATCAACTAATAAGCAACTTCTGGTCATTCGACGTATCTGAATTTCGCTATTCAAATACGCAATAACATCGATAAAAATACACGAGCTCATTGACAAAATGCTTATCTACTGTTCTCTACGTTCGGTTTCATAATATTCCAGTTCTAAGGGAACTGAGTGAATAGTAGTTTTTTCTAATGTCTGAATAAATTGCACATTAAATGTACCTTGAAGAGGCCCAATTCAAGGTTACTGTATTTGCAATGGTCTGAAAAGATACAATCAGAACACAGTCACACCACTTACCTTTAGCCATTTCTTCTCTGTACGTCCTCTCGATGAACTGCAAAAAAGAAGATCGGGTGATTAACTATTCACAAAGCAATAAAGCTAATACATAAACAGTTAACACCGCGGCCTATAATTGCACTGCGTCTGTAACCGATAAAAGCATGTTCTATTCAAGCCATCTCCACATTTCTAATAATTTGTGATATTTACCCATTGGTAAAGCAAACAGGATACGATCTTGAACGCGAATTGCCGGTGATTATGCAAAGAGAAGGAGATGATTGTCATAATTCCGGCTAGAAAATGTCCTCATAATTGTTGAAGTATTTTGCGCCATTCGTGTGTCACAACAGGTCAGAAAGTAGGTTGTGTTGTGGAATATGTATACATGTCATTAGGATTGCAACAGTTGAGGAATAAAAAGCGTCGGTAGCATTTACTACACTTTCAAACGAAGTTTTACTGACATAGTGTCAGGTGTACATACAGCGTTGAGTGAGTGGGTATTATTTGACGTCGCTTTCAGTGTATTCCCAACAATATCAAGGCGGGGACATGAAGAATGTGCTTCTCATATTTTAGCCATTGTAGGACTCCAACGCTGGTCTTCGAGGAGAAGACAGAATGCTTTAAAATTAGGCCGGTACATCAGCGCCAAATCGTTTTGGAAATTGATGAGGGTATTTTATTTCAAGCGTTAGATGTAGGGATAGAGAGACGAGAGCATATGGGGAAAGGGAATGTAGGGATGGAGAGTGGAGATTGAGAGAGTAAAGAAGGCGGGATGAAGATGCAGAATATATCAAAGGACGCCGGGAAGATCGATGAGAAGAACAGAAGAAAGGAGATATCAAGCTGAATGAAAGGGGGAGGGAACGAGCAAAAGTTGAAGAGACAGATGGGCGGAGGGACGATGACAGGGAAGGATAAAAGCTGGATTGATGGACAAGATGAAGATTAAATCGACGATTACGGGGATGGAAGGAAAGAAGAGGTAAGATCAAAAGATGCGAAGAAAGTGGAGTGACGGGCAAAAGAGGGAAAATCAGGGAGAGGGGACGATAAGTAGAAGATAGAGAGAAAGAGAATAAGTCAATAAATATTAACGTCCGAAATCTCTGCTACAGCTTCCTGTATAACACTACACCGACGTCGTGTATATGCAGCAAGCAAGGTGCATGCTTTATAACGCTATATTGATCCGTATTGTGCACAAAATGCGTCAAGTGCGCACACGCTATTGTGAGTGTCCCTCTGTGACCATATCATCAATTAAAACCTAAACCAGCGCACAACCTATATCGATATTTATTAAATCAAGGTAACAGACCTGTTCTATCAAGATGTCAAAATCAATACATCGCCGTTCTCCGTGATATGAATCTCACATTGTGAGCATATGTTCTCTTATAACCACCATATGTTGCTTCTGTCTGATCAAAAGGTGTGGGTCGACCAATACACGTCCATATGTGTTGGCAGGCAGGGACACACACTGCCAGATATCTATCAAATACCCACATTCATTTATCAGTTCAAGGTGAAACCGTCATAGCCAAAACAGTTTATGGCAAATTGGAATTTCACGAAGGATTAACAGAGTGTAACATGCATTGATAGGTAAAATCGATGTTATATCACACAAATATATTTGCACACATATTGATATCTCTTCCGCTGCATCTGCTGCTTGCACTCATAGCGCTTGATGCAGTCAGTGCGCTTTTCTGCAGCCGACACAGAAACAACATTGTAACATTTCATCTCTGATAATAGAGAGGGGGCAGGTTAAAAGCCCGGCTCGCCCATATTTGTATGCATAAGAGCCCTACAGTGATACAATGTGTAGACTATAGCATTAATAAAGTGGATATGCATACAGAGTACACAAGCATTCCTTTAATGTATTATATGTTTTAACACCACCTCCGTGGTCTAGTGGTAGAGCGTTCACCCGGAGAGCGGAAGGCCCGGGGTTCGATCCCCGGTGGCGTCATACCAAAAGACGTTAAAAGATGGTACTTGTTGTTACCCTGGCTGGCGCTCGGCATTAAGGGGCTAAAACAAGGACTGGTCGGCTCGGAGTCAGTATACTGTGTCTGAGTGGGGTTTTCATGTTAAACTGTGGCATGGTATCTCAGTGGGCTAGCACTATAAATCGGCATCAGTCCGGACTAGTACAAGCAGCCACACACACGCACACGCCGCTATATAAGTGCAATAATCTTGGACGCGACGTTAACCCCATTTCACCCCACCTTATATGCATGTTTTACCAGGGGTTTGTAGTTTTTAATGACGATGCCTACGGTACATTGACAAAAGGCCAAATACGTTTTCTTGCACAATCCTTTACGCTTAAAACATCAGTCAGCAAACATGTCACACGAGTCAGTAATGGTAAATGGTATGCAGGTACGCATGAAATTTGAATAAAATCGGCCTGAAATGAAACTTTGACGTATTACAATGAATGTAGATATAATGTGTCATATTGTATGGGTCCAGTTTTGTTTAATTGTAGAGCATGTATAGACTTATTGACTTACACAGCCGAATAAACATATATTCAAATTGTGTTTTTTCCACGTCAACTGATGTTTATTACATACATGGTTTATAGTTGATTAGAATGGAATCATGTGCAAGTAATTACGCCATTGTCACCATAAGCTTAGACGTACATGGTGCAAGTACACGTAAAACACGCATGGAATATGCATGCCCTTCCCATTCGTTTGACGTTCACATAATGTAATATTTTTTTCTTACAGTTAATACTGTTAGCAATTATCCATAATGGACGCAAGTTAAGCCTGCGATTTACGTAGGCAATAACCAGGCACTTATGGCGGCTAGTCATGCAATGACCGTATCAATTAATATGTTGTGCAATAATCATAACATGTAAGGTTGCTCTCTCATCTAGAAATTGATCTTATATGGATCCTATCGGTTTTAAATATAAACATTTCGTTTTGAAGCGTATCATTTATTTCTGCTGCGAGATCAAACACTCTCAAATCAACTGCATGCAGAGAGTACAGAAATTAGTGAATTGGTAGCTTGACAAGGGCCCTTCTCAATCGATCACAGGCCCTGCCTGAGGTTATGTACGTAACGGCGGTCGTCGTGGTGCTCTCGTACAATCGACATTTGAGTGCACGGACAGAGATTTGGGTGTCTATTACATGTGTGTATGATCATCAAGTCATGCTAGACAATTACATCAACAGATCTCCCCTAAAATGGAAACCAAATCGAAGTATACGGATTTCAGTAGGCATGCACAATGTATTTTAAAACCTACATACATAATGCATACATGAATTATCATATGCTAAGAATATCCATCTATCTGCATCTATATCTACAGGCTTGTATTAATATCCATGTATCTATATGCATCTGAGTGAGTGGGTAAATATTTAACGAGGCAACGGCGATATTTCAGCTAAAAATATAGTGTACGTATACGTGAAATTCATATCTTAAATATATCCACATGTCGATATGCATGTTAACACATATATATTCATTTATATAACACCCCGCAGCATCTATAAGCGCTGGCATATGTTTCTTTTAAAACGAAACATTTGTCTTAACACGTCTGAAAGCAACGAAGCATGCATCCTCAAGTATCGATAAGCGTTTCCAGAAATACAAGTAAAATGTATTTAGTAACTTGTTATCTTGTTACAGAGACTTATTTTGAATGCATGAGGCAGGACCCCGCCCCCAAACATCTGATAGCTTTGTCTCACATAAAACAGTTCTGAATTTCCTTTGGGTCACTTTAACCTCAACCCATGCAGAAATCCCGTTATTAGAAATCTTCACTATCTCTCATGGGAGGGGACGCACTACATGTACATGTAGGGATGGTTTGTTACAGAATCCAAATTACATAAAGCAGGAGTGGAGATTCTATGGATAAGATATTTTTCTGCCTGGCTAGATATTCAGCCCCGACTCAGTGAGTTGAGGTTCCCAACCTCCTCGGTATGACTCAGAGGTTTGACAGATATGGACACGAACACTGATCAATACTTGCTTTGTAGTTTTCGTCAGCATTTAGAAAGCTCGAAACCCTATACCTTACGTACGAAACGCAAAGCTCTCGAGTCATTATTGAAGGGAAATCAGATAAGTGAAGTACGAAACTAAACTCCAGTTTGATTCCATGGTGCCAGGCGGATTGAGAACAATCTGACCAATTAGAGTCGCTGTTACATTTGGGAAGGTCAATATTCTAACATGGCCATCGACAGAGACATCCTAATACTGAGGAGGGTAAAGTTTGGCAAGCAGAGTTGAGGTCCAGGGATCGAAGTGGCATTAGCAGCTGTTTGAAGGAGTAATACATAATCGATTACGACACCAATAGGGACGAGAAGGGAAGCACGACCCGATTACGACAAGCACGACCCGATTACGGTAGTCGCTTCGATCTAGCTTTAACGACTGTCGTAATCTGTGTTGGCAAACATGGCGATAGATCAGTAAAAGAAGTGACCAAGTCGAAAAAGACGATCGAACAGACACCCTCTTGAGAAACAAGAGACGTGGGCCTATTTGCACATTCTCGCGGCTCATCCAATTCAGCAACAGTGCCAAAATATGCCAGAATTGATCTTTTTCTAGAATTAAATTTAGATATTTTCCTAACTATGTGTATTCAACACAGTAAAAGCCACCATCACGCACACAATGTTGTGAAAGGGGCGAAAAGCATTTATGCCCGCACGACATTCGGACTTCTTTGTGGCATAATGGACATGCGTGACAAGATACTTCGAAAAAGAAGTCACGAAAGAGTTGTAATTAGTCCTGGGCTAAGTGAGTTGCACTTTGATCAATAGTTCTTACGTCTGTCTGCGGCTGCATCGTATCAGATGGCTGTAACGCGTGAGCCTTCCGCAACCATTCAACGAGAAACTAGAGGACACGAACTTTCTTCAGTGTCTAGGTGATCGCTGGCTCACCGTTATTATTCAATTAACATGTCTACACCCTCTGCCTAGCATCACACTCGCTGTCGACCCCAAA